CGTTATAAGTCTTTGGTGTTTTGCTCCTACTGCTACACAATCATATGATGCTCTAGATAGTTATTAATTCTGGTTTATAAGTACCTCTCATAACTTGTTAGGCGGCCTTGATTGTAACAATCACACCGTTAAACTTTGCTTAAGGAACCCTACGTACAAATACAAAGCATACTTATACTAGGTACAAATTGCTACCTTGGTAGACTAAACAGACTGAAATCAGTTACTCCTACATTCCAAACCAGAGGTGCAATTTTATGCATTCCACGACAATGATAATCAATGCATCGAAAAGCTAGCAGCTTATATAAATATATTGCGATGCACAGCAGTTCTAGATGAAATATAACATGAAGGCCTTTCAAAGGGTATTCTATCATATTTCTAATCAAACAGCATGTTTGATGACAATGCTTAGGATAGATAAACATTTGATAATAATCGAAAACCTGAGAGTTCTACGTCGCAAGAAAGAATAATCCGTTATCTTAAATTCTTGGAACTAACCACTTTACTTAACAGGATTGATAAAGAGGCAGACTTACCCAAATAACCTTACGTCATATTATATCACAACCGGACGTATATTTGTCGCTGTTCCTGCTGGTGTTTAAAAACATTCACGCCCCCGTCTTACCTCTGCTTTTGCACAGTTTGCACTTTGGCGGATGGTCCACGTATTAAATTCGTCTGACTTTCTCCAACGTAGAATTTGACAAAAGTTCCATAAAATGCCTTATAGGTGCATACTTTTTTACCATCTCCAGGATCCAACTCGAATCTCCTTAGTTGTTTTAAATGGTTTGACAGACCACCGATTAGTTATTTTTTACGCTGTGCGACGTTTCGCTCTTGCTCAACAGCTTCATAAGGCAAAGTGAATTAGCTTAAATAGAGTGCAATTTTAAAGACAAGCACATGTAATCTACATACCATAATCGATAATGTTTGAGACAATGGATGAAAAAGTTACAGCCAACAAAGGTAACTTGGTCCGGGTGAAATCCGCAGATCTCAACACCAGGTCAAATGGAAATAAAATCTGCTGATCAGATTGCAGTTATACACATGGTCAGCAATCAGAAGTGGTCCGTTGGAATGCTGTTGTTTAATTTTAAAACATGTCTTCAATATTTAGGGATATGATGTATGGGTATTGATTGCTCGTTATTAATTCAGATCCATCACCCGTTGTTCATCAATGTGGCGAGAGCAAGACTAGATGCCAGAGATTGACAGCTCTACTCGGTCCATTCTATTCACGCAGTTATTGGTCTTGGTTATTTCCATAGCCTCAGCAATTAGCCTTTTATCAGATGATCACAACATCTTCCTGATAACCTTGATATTGCTACTGCCGTTACTAAGCAGAGCACTATACTCAAGCTCGTTCCTCGGAGGCCATGACTTGTGGCGCTAGCTTCTGTGATTCCCGTGCTTAGTATTCTCACTGCGCAAAATTTACATAAGATTCTGTAAATACAATTACTAATTATATGTAATGATCATCGGTGCCTTCGTAGTTTGGCTCACATCTGGTGGGAACACCTACTGAGCAACGAGCGTGTTCGACGCCTCGTTTACGGCACAGAAAAAGGATCTGATCGTCTCAGCACCGTCACTTCACGCACCAGGCTCCGATGGCTCTGCCACGTGCTGCGCATGCCAGTCCGCAGACTTCCACGACGTGCGTTGTTTGCTCACCGAGGATGTGGATGGAAGAAGAGGAGGGATGGCCAAGCGATGAATTGGTCCAGAGGAATGAAAGCTCTCAATTTGAAGCTGGCCTCAGTTGGAGCGTCACGGCTCCCTGTTTGGGGTCCAAAAGACGGTGAACACGTTTGGCTGGATACACTTGCTGTCATGGCAAGCAACCGACTTCAGTGGCTATCCTGCTGTGAGTTTCTTTGTCCCTCCCTATCCCTTTTACTCTCCCCATCCACCTGCGATCTCACATCTTATCGTAAAACATAATAATTTTTCTTTTTGCCTAGTAGCCGGCTGGTAGCTTTCCGGAACGATGCCTATCCGTTGCTGGTAGCTCAGCTGGCATGCCGCCGTGTTATATATTTTCCTTTTCCTTTATATATTGCAGCGTTTCCCACATCCGGTTAACGTGTATAATGATGATGATGATGAATTCTATGTAATGGAAATGGTTCCTCTAAATGCTCCAGCATCAACCGTAACGTTTTACCCTTTTATAAAACTACCCTTAGGTTTTCTTTATTCCGTAATTTCGGACCGCTTCCGAAGTTATTTCCTTATCCGGAACCCCCACTGTCACTATCAAATCTGTGATTGGCATTGCACTTGGGTTGAGGAACTTTATTAGCTGTATTTTTACCAATCACCTCGGATATCCGATAGCCAGTATTTTTTCATCGCCTCCTTCTGCGCAGCTTTTTATCTTCTTCCTCTATGTGCAGAGCACATGCTTTGTGAAATAGTGCTGAGGTGCATAAACATTATTCGTGTGAACCGAACTATAACTAAGTACCTCGTCCGTGTCCAATGTTTTGCGATACGTTGCCATCGTATAGCTATCGCATTGCAATTAATCGCAATTAGGCTGGACCTTACAGAGGTGCGATGGTTTGTGTGGCTCAGCGATCCATTGCGCTATGTTGGGTGGTGTTTTTTGCGCTTTAGAGGCACTCATACCATACTGATCAATGGTTAGGTGCCAGACGAACTCAGCCTTCTGGTCCTCCAGGTTGGGGGTTGGAATGAAGTGGTTCCTTATTCCATAAAACGGAATCCTTGTAGTTCAACACCAAACCCGCTGCCTTGCTGTCAGGTTTTTGAACCAAAGGCTTTGCTAGAGAACCTTAATCGTTATATTGTCTGTGCCTGTGCAACCTGCCCACGCCATACAACGAATTTATCTTCAAACAATTTCTTTTTGCTCTAGCCACCGCAGAGGATAAGCAACGGTGCCCTATCTGCTGCATCTTGCAGGGTGGACAGGGGTTTTAATGCTACTGCTCAAGCCGTCCCGTATTCTTATTCTTCATCTTACGCATTTTCTCCCTTACCGTCCCGTACCAGCTTCATTTTTATCCACCTGTTTTCAACCATTCAATTATTGGCCCTCACCCACTTTGCTCTGCTAGGCTTTTACCCACTTATTTAAACTCACATCTGAACGCGGAGCGTAATTCCTGTCCTGTAGACAAGCCCACGTCCAAACAAGCAGCAAAGCCCAGTTCATTGACTTTCATTTGGATCCCTCGATCATCCTTGAGATTGGCATACCTCTATGTACGTACATTTCTACAGATCGGTCAACATGCAGCACTTGCCCGAACATTAGAGACCCACTACATCCATATCTGCTGCTTATCGCAGATCCGCCTGGAAGACCCGAGCTCCGTACTCACTTTGAGATGCTCTTGTGACACTAGCAGCACTTTCTCACAACGCTTATCCAGCGACGATGCAGCTTCGAGCACCGACGAAGTCGGTGTTGGTATCGACCCTAGTCCCCGGGCTGAAGCTGCTACGGTTGACTGGATTGTAATTAGTAGCCGGATGTGTGCACTCGGATTTCTGGCTCGTTAAAAGCTTCGAAGTCGTGCGGGACTACTAGGTGTCTATTCATCATCACTGCCCATGCGCCCACAAACTTTAGCGATGATGCGGTAAAAGACAACCTCTACCGCCAAGTGACCCAGCTCCTTCGCCGCAGAAGAAGCACGGATATTGTTGTAATGGCGGGGATATGAACGCTTAATTTGGAAAGTTGTCCACTCATGAAATGCATCTTGGCGGTCAACATGGTGTAGGCTCCTGTACTGATAACGGTGAGCGGATAATTAATTGGTGTGATAATGCTCGCTTATTATTTGCAACCACTAATTTCCAACACAGCACCCGACGGAGAGTGACTTGGCGCCCACCAGCCTCCAACCAACCATAGAAGCAAATCGATCACCTTGCTATAAATTACCCATGGACAGGCTGCGTTCGGAAATGTCGCTTGATTTGGAGCATATGTGTACACGGACCATGCACTTGTATATGCTGACCTGCGGATGCGTTTTGGCGGAAGCCCAAGACGAGGTTGTGAACGTATTGACACCAGACAACAGGCGAAACCAGCTGTTCTGAATGCCCATCAAAGTACCCTGCCATGCGATTTGAGTAAGCACTCACTGGATGTATTTGAAACTCAGTGGACTCATATTCACTAGTCCAAACAGGCATCAGGAAAATCATAATGCGTTAACTCTAATCGCGAACATGGACATTGGGTCACTTCTCAGTCTCTGGAACTTATCGATGCTCGCCGGCATATTCCGGCTGGAAGCAAATACACTGAAACTCGCAAAAAGTTCCAGTCCAAACTCCGTCATTGCCTGAAGGAGACCGCGAATCCTGGTGGTCTCATCGTGCATCAGAATTGAAAATGGTCGCTGCTCTTAGTAACCATCGTAGGTTATCTCAGCTGATACGGAAAATGGGCAGCAGAAGACCTGGTGTCAGTGAAACGTATACGTGACGAGATTGGACAGCCAATCCACAGTTTGTCAAAATGCTTGAACCGTTAGGCTGAGCACATTTAAAGCAATTTAATTGGTGGGACTTGTTAGATTAATCGTCGGCCACTGATTGCTCCGTCTCCGTGTGCTGTCCCTTTGGATCCACCCTCTCGTCTAGAAGTCGAACGTTAGATCGCGACTGTTTAAGTTACATAAAGCCGCGGGAACAGATGATCTTCCTCCAGCCTACCTCAAATTCGGTGGACCTGCTCTTTTGTATGATTTACACGAGTTACTAGTAAAAGTGTGGGAGCAGGAAACTGTCCCAACCGAGTGGAGCAGCTCCGTCATAGTACCAATTATCAAGGAGGCTCACGATCGGAATTCGCCAACCATAGATGAATCAGTCTGATATCCATCGCCTCCACATTGCTTGCTTCTGTCATCATTCACAGACTGAATGCCACTTGTGAAAGCCATATTGGTAAACAAGCAACCCGGGTGGGGAGGTATGTAGTGTTTCTTTCACCTTTCATTACATAATCTTCCGGTCAGCTGATAATATTACCAGCTGCATCGACTATTCTTTCAAACGCTTCATACATCGATCAATTTTCCTATTTGAATAGCCGGCTGACTCTAGACTGCCTCGTGTATAACATCTGGGAGTTCCAAATACACATTTATGGGAATACACGTGTTCAATCCCTTTTGGCATCCGAGAATGACGGGTTATTAAACCAGGAACTCCGCAACCAAAAGGCGTTACCAAAATCCAACAAGTGGGAACCTCGACAAGTGGTTGACCCGACGTGAGTTCGGATATTTCGACTCAGCAAACATCATCCGGTGAGTCGTATCCAATTTCGTCATACTTCCATCATTTCATGTATGCTAATATGACTGACCAGCAACCAGGGGAAATTAACACCGTATCTACTAGTTGTTTACCAACATTTTGGATACAGTATCCCCAGTTATGGTTTATGCAGGTCGAGACATTTTTTGAAATCAATCGCATACCTAAGGATGCGTTAAAGGTTCATCACGTTATTTCCCGACTCCCACCTGAGATGTTGCTTCTGGCGCAGGATATCATAAAAACGAGCAGTACATACCAACAGTTAAGAGACTTGGCTATCCGTGAGCTTAGCCTTAGTGAGCGTAAAAGAGTGCAGCGTCTACTTAATGAAGAGCAATTAGGCGATCGCACTCCTACGCAACTATTACGAGCCATGCAAGCTTTGGTAGGTGAAAACCCTCCAGAAAATTCCATTTTTAAGCAGCTATTTATGCAACGGCTCCCTGTACATGTACAACAGATTCTGGCTAACGCCCACCAGGATACCGAACTAAAAGATTTAGCCCTTATGGCTGATAAGATAATGGAGATACAAACGCCAACGATCTCAAACTTATCACCTCGTACACCTGACGACGAACTCGTTAAAGCCGTACGCTCCTTGCAACAACAACTGGCTTCCATTACCATCACCAGACGAAGGAGCAACTCCCGATCTAATCAACGGCGTACTCGGAGTGTTAGTCGTCTCCGTGGCATATGCTGGTACCACCGTAGGTTCCGCAACAAAGCAAAAAAGTGCGTGAAACCGTGTCGGTTTTCCGATTCGGGAAACGACCACGCCAGCACGTAATGGCGACGACGCAAGCTGGCATATGCGAGCCAGGTCGCCTATTCTACTTGCGGGACGTAACATCCGGCATGCGATTCCTCGTAGACACGGGTGCCCAAGTCAGTGTAGTTCCCCGCGTCCAGAAGACCTGAAACACTGCTCGATATACAGCCTCCAAGCAGTTAACGGCACACAAATCCGATCCTATGGAGAACGTTCTATCACTCTAAATCTCGGTCTCCGTAGATCCTTTCCTTGGATTTTCATCATAGCTAAAGTGCCTACTGCAATATTAGACCTTGACTTCTTTCAGCACTATGGTATTATCGTAAATCCGAAGCGCTGTCAGATCATAGGTAGCCCAACGCAAATAACACAGGCTGATTTTAAGAGCTCCGTAAAGTCTATGAGTCCGCAGCTTGTCCGCTTCAAGCTTCTTCGATGTATTTGGATCTGTTGCTCGAATTTGTCAGCATAACGAAGCCCGGATATCATCCTGGTGATATCAAACATGAGATCGTTCATAGGATAACGACAGCAGGCAGTCCAGTATTTCATCGTCCTCGGCGACTAGCGCCAGATAAACTTTCCGTAGCGAAGGCCGAGTTCGATCATATGTTACAATTGGGCATAATACGTCCATCCAGCAGTATGTGGGCATCACCCCTACATATGGTCCCGAAGAATAAACCCGGAGACTGGAGACCATGTGGGAATTATAGTGAACTGAACGTCATCACCGTCCAGACAGATACGCCATTCCGCATCTCCAGGAATTCTCATCCTCGCTGTACGAAAAAAAGTGTTCAGCAAGATAGATTTAGTACGGGCATACCACCAAATTCCCGTTCATCCTCAAGATGTACCTAAGACTGCCGTCACTACTCCCTTTGGCTTATTTGAGTTCTTGCGAATGCCAGTTGGTCTTCGTAAAACAGCTCAGACGTTTCAGCGTTTCATGGATTAGGTCATTCGCGAGCTGGACTACGTTTTCGTCTACATCGACGATGTCTTAGTTGCAAGTCGAAATCATGACGAACATTTGCGTCATCTGCGACAGCTTTTCGAACGATTTGCGCATTATGGGTAGTTATCAACGCCGCCAAGAGTCAGTTAGGAGTTGATACGGTAGACTTTCTTGGTCACCGTGTTTCCTCCGCTGGAATTGCACCCCTACCGGACAGAGTGACAGCCATCACTGAGTATCCCATACCTGATTCCATCAAAAAGTTACGCCGGTTCGTTGGCATGGTTAACTTCTACCGAAGATTCATCCCGCACTGTTCAGAGTTAAGTAGTTCGGTAAGTGGCTGGGCTAACTCTGAACAGTGCGGGATGAATCTTCGGTAGAAGTTAACCATGCCAACGTATCGGCGTAACTTTTTGATTGGAATCAGGTATGGGATACTCAGTGATGGCTGTCACCCTATCCTGTAGGGGCGCAATTCCAGCGGAGGAAACACGGTGACCAAGAAAGTCTACCGTATCAACTCCTAACTGACACTTGGCGGCGTTGATAACTACCCAATAATGCGCAAATCGTTCGAAAAGCTGTCGCAGATGACGCAAATGTTCCTCATGATTTCCACTTGCAACTAAGACATCGTCGATGTAGACGAAAACGAAGTCCAGCTCGCGAATGATTTGATCCATAAAACGTTGAAACGTCTGAGCTGCATTACGAAGACCAAATGGCATTCGCAAGAACTCAAATAAGCCAAAGGGAGTAGTGACGGCAGTTTTAGGTACATCTTGAGTATAAAGGGGAATTTGGTAGTATGCCCGTACTAAATCTATCTTGCTGAGCACTTTCTTTCCGTACAGCGAGGAGGAGAAATCCTGGAGATGCGGAATGGGATATCTGTCTGGGACGGTGATGGCGTTCAGTCCCCTATAATCCCCACATGGTCTCCAATCTCCAGGTTTATTCTTCGGGACCATATGTAGGAGCGATGCCCAAACACTGCTGGATGGACGTATTATGCCCAATTGTAACATATGATCGAACTCGGCCTTCGTTACGGAAAGTTGATCTGGCGCTGTTCCCTGAGGACGATGAAATACTGGACTGCCTGCTGTCGTTATCCTATGAACGATCTCATGTTTAATATCTCTAGGATGATATCCGGGCTTCGTTATGCTGACATATTCGCGAAACAGATCCAAATACATCGAAGATTCTTGAGGCGGGACAAGCTGCGGACTCATAGACATTACGGAGCTCTTAAAACCAGCCTGTGATAGTTGCGTTAGGCCATCTATGATCTGACAGCGCTTAGGATCTACGATAATACCATAGTGCTGAAAGAAGTCAAGGCCTAATATTGCAGTAGGCACTTTAGCTATGATGAAAATCCAAGGAAAGGATCTACGGAGACCGAGATTTAGAGTGATAGAACGTTCTCCATAGGATCGGATTTGTGTGCCGTTAACTGCTTGGAGGCTGTATATCGAGCAGTGTTTCAGGTCTTCTGGACGCGGGGAACTACACTGACTTGGGCACCCGTGTCTACGAGGAATCGCATGCCGGATGTTACGTCCCGCAAGTAGAATAGGCGACCTGGCTCGCATATGCCAGCTTGCGTCGTCGCCATTACGTGCTGGCGTGGTCGTTTCCCGAATCGGAAAACCGACACGGTTTCACGCACTTTTTCGCTTTGTTGCGGAACCTACGGTGGTACCAGCATATGCCACGGAGACTACTAACACTCCGAGTACGCCGTTGATTAGATCGGGAGTTGCTCCTTCGTCTGGTGATGGTAATGGAAGCCAGTTGTTGTTGCAAGGAGCGTACGGCTTTAACGAGTTCGTCGTCAGGTGTACGAGGTGATAAGTTTGAGATCGTTGGCGTTTGTATCTCCATTATCTTATCAGCCATAAGGGCTAAATCTTTTAGTTCGGTATCCTGGTGGGCGTTAGCCAGAATCTGTTGTACATGTACAGGGAGCCGTTGCATAAATAGTTGCTTAAAAATGGAATTCTCTGGAGGGTTTTCACCTACCAAAGCTTGCATGGCTCGTAATAGTTGCGTAGGAGTGCGATCGCCTAACTGCTCTTCATTAAGTAGACGCTGCACTCTTTTACGCTCACTAAGGCTAAGCTCACGGATTAACAAGTCTCTTAACTGTTGGTATGTACTGCTCGTTTTTATGATATCCTGCGCCAGAAGCAACATTTCAGGTGGGAGTCGGGAAATAACGTGATGAACCTTTAAGGCATCCTTATGTATGCGATTGATTTCAAAAAATGACTCGGCCTGCATAAACCATAACTGGGGATACTGTATCCAAAATGTTGGTAAACAACTAGTAGATACGGTGTTAATTTCCCCTGGTTGCTGGTCAGTCATATTAGCATACATGAAATGGTGGAATTATGACGAAATTGGATACGACTCACCGGATGATGTTTGCTGAGTCGAAATATCCGAACTCACGTCGGGTCAACCACTTGTCGGGGTTCCCACTTGTTGGATTTTGGTAACGCCTTTTGGTTGCGGAGTTCCTGGTTTAATAACCCGTCATTCTCGGATGCCAAAAGGGATTTAATACGTGTATTCCCATAAATGTATTTTTGGAGCTCCCAGATGTTATACACGAGGCAGTCTAGAGTCAGCCGGCTATTCAAAAGGAAAATTGATCGATGTATGAAGCGTTTGAAAGAATAGTCGATACAGCTGGCAATATTATCAGCTGACCGGAAGGTTATGTAATGAAAGGTGAAAGAAACACTACATACCTCCCCAGCCGGGTTGCTGTTTACCAATATGGCTTTCACAAGTGGCATTCAGTCTGTGATTGATGACAGAAGCAAGCAATTTGGAGGCGATGGAAATCAGACTGATTCCTCTATATTTGTCTCAATCAGATCGTGCGCCTCCCTTGATAATTTGTACTATGACCGAGCTGCTCTACTCGGTTGGGACAGTTTCCTGCTCCCACACTTTTACTAGTAACTCGTGTAAATCATACAAAAGAGCAGGTCCACCGAATTTGAGGTAGGCTGGAGGAAGATCATCTGTTCCCGCGGCTTTATGTAACTTAAACAGCGCGATCTAACGTTCGACTTCTAGACGAGAGGGTGGATCCAAAGGGACAGCACACGGAACGGAGCAATCAGTGGCCGACGATTAATCTAACAAGTCCCACCAATTAAATTGCTTTAAATGTGCTCAGCCTAACGGTCCAAGCGTTTTGACAAACTGTGGTTTGGCTGTCCAATCTCGTCACGTATACGTTCACTGACACCAGGTCTTCTGCTGCCCATTTTCCGTATCAGCTGAGATAACCTACAATGGTTACTAAGAGCAGCGACCATTTTCAATTCTGATGCACGATGAGACCACCAGGATTCGCGGTCTTCCTTCAGGCAATGACGGAGTTTGGACTGGAACGTTTTGCGAGTTTCAGCGTATTTGCTTCCAGCCGGAATATGCCGGCGAGCATCGGTAAGTTCCAGAGACTGAGAAGAGACCCAATGTCCATGTTGGCGATTAGAGTTAACGCATTATGATTTTCCTGCTGCCTGCTAGGACTAGTGAATATGAGTCCACTGAGCTTCAAATACATCCAGTGAGTGCTTACTCAAATCGTTTGGCAGGGTAATTTGATGGGCAATCAGAACAGCTGGTTTCGCCTGTTGTCTGGTGTCAATACGCTCACAACCTCGTCTTGGGCTTCCGCCAAAACGCATCCACAGGTCAGCATATACAAGTGCAAGTACATATGCTCCAAATCAAGAGACATTTCCGAACGCAGCCTGTCCATGGGTAATTTATAGAAAGGTGATCGATTTGCTTCTATGGTTGGTTCGAGGCTGGTGGGCGCCAAGTCACCCTCCGGCGGGTGCTGTGTTGGAAATTAGTGGTCACCAATAATAAGCGAGCATTATCACACAAATTAATTATCCGCTCACCGTTATCAGTACAGGAGCCTACACCATGTTGACCGCCAAGATGCATTTCATGAGTGGACAACTTTCCAAATTAAGCGTTCATATCCCCGCCATTACAACAATATCCGTGCTTCTTCTGCGGCGAAGGA